GAACATGGTTCCATTCTGGTTCAGACAATGACTTGTCACATGATGTTGGGCTAGCCATTTCACCTCTGTCTCAGTTTGTCATCTGGAAAGTGGAGATAAATGTACTTGCTTTCCTTTGTAAAGCATGTTGTCATTAATTTAGCACTTCTATAGTGGTAGCACCTAAAAGCTGGAACCAGGTTGGGCTCCATTGTGCTAGGTACTGTACAAACATATAATAAATGACAGTCCCTGCCCCAAAGAGCTTATAGTTTGAAAGACGAGGTAGAACAGGTGGAGAAGACAACAAGCATGCTGGGTGGGATAAGGGAAACTGGGTAACATAAATAAAATAGGCTGTGTGCAGTGCTTAACCAATCAATAGTGGTGATCACAACTTGCCAGCTGCCTAGCCATTGATTGGGTTGTAGTTTACTGTATGCTCTACAGAAGGGGAAATTAATTTAACGGGAATCAAGTTTTTGACGTTTACCAAAGAAAAATGCCAAATGAGAACTAAATACCAGTATGCATCTATTACTATTCTTAGGTCCGATACTACTTACCCCACCTGCAGTATACCAGTACGTCCCCTACTATCCTTAGCTAATGATGACCCAGTGGTGCTGCTGCCCTTCAGCTCTGCACCTGTAGAGTTAATAGATATATCAACTGCTGTTTCAGTATGCTGCTTCACAATATTAATAACTTTATTAAATCAGAGCTGTTCTCTTTTTTTTTCAACCCAAGCAAAGGCACTAGCTCTTAATGAGCACTTGGTCCATGTCAAATTTAATCTTTCAAACACCAATCATTTATCTTTCAAATACCCTGACCAAAAATAGCATGGTTAGATTTCTTTTTAATCTTTGAATTGGAAAATGTAGATAGTTTCCACTCTCAATACTCAAAAAATCTGAATGGATTTTTTTGGACAAAACCTTTTCTCTTTTGGGCAGGAACAAAACCTGTGAAATTTCAGCCCAATAGTGGGACGTATCCGAAAGTTATGCGCTGTGACGATAGGGATAGAACATGGAATTCGGAATCGGACGTCCTTGATTCCATCCTCACTGCACTTACTTGAGTAGGTAAAATGAAATGCATGGTTGCACAGGAGCAATTTTTCTACCTCACAGACAGGTTGTTCCTGTTAATTAATGTTTGCAAAATGCTCTGTGTCCCTCAGATGAAAGGTGATATATGCAAGTGCAAAACTCCTATAAACAGTTCAGTTACAGTGAACAAACAGACTTGCAGGTCGTCATAGAAACTCTAGGTAAAACCTGCCTTCTGTTCCCATTTTTCCTTTCTAAGCAGACATATTGTACAGAGTTAGAGACATTTTAACATAGCATTGCTTCTTTTTAAAGGCAGCAAAGGTAAATGACATTTCCATCTCTACCTAGAGCTGAGGATTTGTTTAACGAAGTCTTAAATCTCCGGTGCAATGCCCTCTTTTTTTTTTTTTTTCTCCAGGTGGCCATTACTTTCAATCAGACCTCATGTTGTACAGCATACATTAACAAGGCCATTCACATACCTCACTGTGGATATCTGCTGGGTGTTCCAAGGTGCTCTAAGGGTGAAAGTAAATTCTTCCAATTAAACAGAAGCACATGCAGTGTGTGTTAGTTTGTGGGAAAATATTATTCCTAGTTTACATAGATTATCTGTCTGCCTCTGTAGAACACACAACATTTAAGTTTATATGAGATTAATTCCTTAACATTATGCAGTTTTCCTAACTGGGTATGTATATTCATGCTGTGTGACTTTATATGTATTTTAATTATTTTAGTGAAAAATAGGCTTATAACCTTCTTGGCAAGTACTGTAACTATTTTTTCTAAATATCTGTGGGATGGATTTGAGTCTGTGTTGCTATTACATAAGAGATGTCGAACACATCTGGATGTGTAATGCAGCTGTAGTGGTAGCTGGAGTTAAATTTTGCAAGAGTTGCCTTTCTAAGCTTCTATTTTAGTCACTCATAATTTTCTGGAACTTAGACCTTTCAGACTGAAATTTTCTAGGGCTTCAGTTTGGATTATAGGCCACTGAGCGACTTTAGACATGCGGTATTCCCCAGTACAGTAATAGCCATGGTGTCTGTAGAAGCTGGACTCTAGATTGTACCAGACCGGGGGACTGGCCTTTGGGACTCTTCACTTACCTGGCAAGGCAGTAGTGTTCCTATTTGCATGTTTCTCATTATATTCTTATTATATACCTGTTACAACCCATACCAGCACAGTATATTTTCAACCGATTATATTTTCAACCCGTACCAGCACAGTAACAAGAGCTGGTGGACAGGGGGAAATTGTATAACGTGGGTGACACAGCAAAAATCCATCATGAAGACATCACTGTGTGGAATTGTACTGTAGATTTTTCTCTCACATTTTCTTGAGGGATCTCCAGACTTTGCAAGACTAGTGATTATGCTGGCAGTTTGCCAGGAGCCTGCGGGACTGCACCTACTTTTAATATAAATGCATCACAGACTAAATGCACACAACCATAATATTTGTACTTGTATTTAGCGGAAGTGAGATTGCATATTGTTTCAGCATATTGGCAATAAAACCTTGCCTTTGCTTATCTTTCTCCTCTTAAATGGAAGGAAGTAAATAGTGAGCTACACTTTAGGGCTCCATATGTCACACCTAGTCCTTAAACAGACCATGAGCTCAAGTAAGAGGAACTTTTTCCTAGCTAAAGCACAGGAGACATGGGTATTTTTGTTCCCAGTTTTGCTACAGGCTCATTGTATGACCTTGGGCAAGTGACTTAGGCCCACGCTTTCCAAAATATTTTTGAGTATTCAACGTGAAGCACCTGGGACCCTGATTCTGAGATTTGCTAAGAACCTCACAGTTTACATTGACTCAGCTGGAGTTGAGTGGCTTCTACCTCTGAAAATCAGATATGAGATGTATGAAGTTAAAATTAAAAATCACAGAGATCCCCACATGACAATAATGTTTTTAACCATTTTTATGGTAGGGCACTACTCTGTCTTGCAGACGAAAGGAAAAGCCTTCTGGGTTGGCTAATGCACAGCATATTATTTCTGTACCAGTGCCCTGTGTGTACCAATAGAAACTACATCACCCATTCAGAAAAACATCTACATACATTTTTCTTTCTTTTCCTGTTTTATAATACAAACGTTAACCTTGGCACAGGGCATTTCCTGAGGATTGACTGACCTATCTTGGTGATATCTTGGGTCATCTGTTCCACCTAGTCAGCCTTTAATCCTCAGGGAATGTCTTGTGCCTCAGTAGTAATTTATTGCTTAAAACAATGAGCTCATTTCTGTGGGTTGTTTTATGCATATGGAATTCAGTAATTTTTTTTCAGTGCTGATTGCAATGTCTGATTCATCATATCCATATTGATGAGTGAATGAGGTCCAAGTACTCAAAGGAAAGGAAGGTGACTTTTTTTTATCTTTCCTACAGATGTTTACATAGAAAGCAGTGAGTACTGTTTTAACCACAATTGATTGATTTTTAGTTAATAACACTATAATTATTTGTCCAGTTACAAGAGACATCCCATAGCACTACTTAGGGCATGGGCAAAACTAAGGGAGCAATCTCCTTGGCTAACTGAGATCCAGAGCTGTGAGAGTCTGAGAGAACAATTGATCAGCTCCACACTACATTGTTAGTCTTTCTCTAATACTTTTTATTCACAAATTCGGTATGATTGTTGTATAAGTGCAATAATGTTCAGTCTCCAGGAAGTGCCTTTGGTTTTATACCTTACTACATGATCAAGGTCTTGCGGTTATCTTACAATTGTATATCTGTTCAGGTGTGGTTTCCTACTCATAACACCCTCATCAATGTCACATATGATCGATATGTTGGGATATTCCAAAAGGAACTGATAGCAGTTGATTTCAAGCATTGCTTGCTAGGCTAGTGTGTTCTATAGGCTTGATCTTGAAAGGTACTGAGCCCTCCTGGTAGGTGCTGAGTGCCTTCAACCCTCTTTGATATCAGTGGGAGTTGAGAGTGCTTAACAGTTTGCAGAATTGAGTTCTGCTGTCTCTCCTAAGCATAGCTTGTGCAGCACAGTTTGTTGAATTATCAGGTAGTCATTAGTATTATGTTGGTCTGTCGTCACCCAAGACACGTTCATGACCTATTATGATCTGTTGTATATCATATATATTTTTTAAAATAATGCAGTGTAATCCAGGCTGGTTTTGTCTTTCTCTTCCTTGATTCCTCTGTGGACTCCATGACTAGCATGTAGAAGCCAGTTGTAAGAATACAGCATCCTTGCTGCAGCATTTGCCCATGATGGATATGGATTCCAATGAATGTGGCTCATCGGTCAGCTTACTTAGTGCTGCGGAGACTCCTTTTTAATGTCTATCTCTTGGCTCTATAATAGCCAGCAATTTACAGATAGAGGAGTTCCTCTGACGTATCAAATATCTCCACTGAAACAATGGCTCACTGACAGCACAGCGGCTCACTGAAGATTCTCAACTGCGTAATTTGTTTCCTTCTCTTGTGATAATGATTGTCTTATTACATTGGACTCCCCATTGTAGACTTACTTAGAAAACTAAATTTGAGAGATTGCAAATGAAAATTTTACATAAATTGTGCTCACATTTACTAAACATCTATATAAATTAAAAACCTCAGTGTATGCTCTGCATGTGTATGTTTATAATAAATATATGAATAAGTGGCTGCATAATTACAAAAGTCATAGTTGCCAGTTACTCTGCACACAGTACTAAGGATGGAACTCTGATTCTTTGGTGTCAAAAATGCCTTTAAGACTTGAAGTAAAGGAGAAGCTCTATGAGGTAGTAACTAGTAGTTAGGCTTTTTATAGGGCTGCCACTAGAGAGGGACAGAATCACGACCATCTAACAAGGTAGTGGACAGAGAGCATGCTGTACTAATTCTGTTCTAGGAACAGGCTTTTGAAGTGTGACTGTTGCCATGATAAACATTCTAAATCTTCTTTTTACTTTACAGGAGGCCCAGAAGATTAATGCTGGTGGGGAAACCCAGGCTGATGGGACCTGTAAACCTACAGATGAGAAAGAGGAGACTGTCGCAGCAGAAGTGGGCTGGATGACCTCTGTGAAAGACTGGGCAGGAGTGATGATATCTGCCCAGACTCTAACTGGCAGAGTCCTTGTGAGTTTTACCCAGTTTGCTCAAATCTTCTTTAAAAAGAGTAATTGTTAATGAGCTCTTCATCTTATTGTCTCAGGAGGGCTTGGTTTTGCTAATCAGCTCTATGCCACACCACTAATTCTCTCCCTTCACAATTTCTCTTGGAAATGAAAAAGGCAGACCTGCTCCCATTGCTGAGACAGTGAGTTATGAAAGTCCTTTTTTGTTGTAGATAGGGACTGATTTTTCTATCTACACCAATATTTTTGCAGGCATAATTTTGCATGCCTCCCCAGGCAATACATGGTTCCCATACTGTGGCAGACCTGGTGAATTTCCTACTAGTTCATTATTAGTGTAAAACTGTTAGCTTATTGACTAGTGGGCACAACGTTACGCTTCAAAAGTGGAGGCCAGATTGAAAATCGGGCTCAATGAGAATGGGTTTTTTTAGCTGTTAGTAGGAATGGTAGAATAGGATTTGAATGAGATGTGCAATGTGGATTATCTTGGTTCCCACAAAGCTGTGATGATATATTTTTTTTTATCTAATCAGAAAATCCAGATAAACAAATGGGGCTGTACATCAGAAATTGAAAAGACATAATTTTGTGGTCAAAAAGTGTACTAGAAAACCAGAAAGTTTTCACTCAGTTAAATCCAGTCAGGTAATTTTGCAGTCCTGTTAACTACTGCTGCATTTCTACTGGCCTGATCTGAAACCCGTTGAGGTCAAGGGAAAATCTTCTCTGTGCTTCAGATTAGGCCCGATGTCAATGGTTTTGTGCTTAATACAGAGAATGGTCATATAGCGTGGGTTGAATTCTGTGTGCCAATCCCAGGGAAACTAAGTGGGCCATCTGTGGTAATATGGATTTAACTGAAAGCAGATTTTTGTCTTTGATTTTTAATTTTGGGAAAAGAGTTTTTATTGCTCATAGGGAGCTTAAGAAAAGATGTTGCTGCTCATGGGCTGATATTTTCCTTATTGTCTAAGCATCTTCTCTGTGAAATTTATTAGAATTCCTTAACACATGGGGCTTTTCAGACTTTTAGGCTGACTCACAATGCAATGTTAAGGTGATACAGACTCTATTATTCATATTGTTCTGTATTGCTTTCCACAGTAATTTATTTAGATTGTTTTTCTTAATAAAATTCTATTGCTGTCTTACTTTAAGTCCTAGCCCTAGACTATTGACAAATGTCTCTCCTCTTGTTCATGCTATCGATATCTGTGGTATGTTTTGCACTCATTCAACAGAGATCTGATCTGCAGGTGGATCTAAAAAGAAAATTTTATTTGGACTCTCCTCCCCACTTATTTTCTGCTTTCTGGCTTATTAACCTGTGCAGCCCATTTTACCTGACTGCCTATTGGGATATTGCTTTTAGATTTAGGGCTTGTCTCCATTTAAAATGCTACAGAGGTGCAGCTGCGATACTGTAGTGCTTCAGTGTAGACACTGCCTAATCCGATGGGAGGGGTTTTTCCATTGGCGTAGATAATCCACCTCCTCAAGAGATAGTAGCTAGGCTGCTAGAAGAGTTTTTCTGTCCGTCTAGCGGTGTCTACACAGGGACTTAGGTCATCTTAACAACGCTGCTTAGGTGGATTTTTCACACCCATGACCAATGTAGTTAAATAGACTTAATTTTCTAATGTGGACCAGGCCTTAGTTCTGACCTTCTCTGTGTGAGCCTGACATACCAGTCATCTTATGAAGAGTGGTGTACTGGTTTCCACATGATTTCTTGACATCTCCAGCATTAAAAGTGGAAAATCTTAATGATCTGACTCTTTCCTGTAAATGTGCTGATTTCTCATGTGCCGATGTATTCCTTTGCATGTGCTGATTTATTTATCAAGGATGAAATTCACCCCAGGATAGGAATCTTACATAAGCACTTATTCCCCACTTAAACCTTTAAGGGAGTTGTAGGAATTTATGCCTGTTCTCTGAGCTGGGGTGAATTTCACCACAAATTCAAAGTTAAGGGTAAAATCTGAACCATAAAAAATGGAGCAGTTTATCTTACTAGAGTTGCTTCCAGGCATTAAGAGAGCTTTTAAAGTTGTTGTTGTTTTTTTTTTTTTCCAGTTACACTAGTTAATCATTTCATTATTCTTTGTGTTTAAAATACACCATTTCTCCTGAAATCAATTAGTTTATTCCCAATGTTTTATCTAGAGACAATGGACCTACTTCTGACCCTTGGTAAAATTCACTGTTTCCTTGAGTATTTCAGTTAGGCAGCATATTTGCTAGAATATTTGTGGAAATTGAACACTGCTGAATCTAGATTCGTATTTTTATCTGATTGACTATTTGTTGGAAAATATTTTGAGAGATTCACCCATGAATTCCTAATGAATTAACATAGCCCACTCCGGAAAGCTATTATGTTTTTATCCAAGTACAATGTAGAAATTTCTAAAGGTAATGGCTTTACAGTGTTATTGAGGATCACAATACGACCAGATAGAGCTGTGGCTGAAGAAATTAAAGTACCTTTTCATACTGTAGGCCAGAGTTTAACTCAAAATCAATCTTTCACATTCACTATTAAATAACCTTTAGGAACTGGTCCCCTGAACGCTGACTTGAGAGAAAAGTTGTAATTGATTTTTAGTGCAGCAGGATTGCATGAAAGCTGTTATGTAACTGCTGTCTGGATTTATTTGCTAAGTGAAGGAGACAAGTTAGCAAAGTGTGGTGTAAACATCAGTTTAAAGTGGAACCTCATTAATGTTTTCTTCTCATCAAAAAAATCTCGCTTAATCATTCTTATCTGGGCAGTCATTTCCTTGGAAGTGACTTGCAGTGGGGTGACAAATTCTGTCTGTGAAACCTAAATTGAATGTTTGCAGGACCAATTTCTACTGAAGCTTCGTGTCAGGTCTAGTCAAGCTTTCAGCTCATCTTTGCAAACCTCATGAAGTGTTTTTCCTAACTTAACAAATTCTTGCACAAGTGCTTAGAGTGGGTGAGTGTGATAGCATACATTTACACTTACTGCAGCTGAGCTATATTTGCCCCTCAATCAGCTTAAACACTGTGCTGTTAGAATGTGCCATGGGTCTACTAAGATGACTACCTATATTTCAAGGAAATAAAGAGTATAGGTATGAAAAGTACAGGGCAAAGCTTATTTTTAAGGGACACCATCCCACAATGATATAAGATCCTACACTTTTGTAACAGTGTATGATCTTTTGCACAATTATTTACAGAATTGTTGCTTTAAACCAAACATTTAGCCTGATCAAGTAATTCTTAGATGCCTCTTATGGCATATTGGTCATGGGTCAATAGGCAGAAAATAAGGTTCCCTAAAAATACAGGGCAGAGGGCCTTCCTCAATCTCAGTTCTAGACCTGATCAGGAATTTTTAATGAAATATTTTTTCATCAGAAAATGCTGATTCCTCAAAATATAAGCTGTTGGTTGGGTTTGATAAATTTCTCATTTTGAGAAAAATAAAGAAAAAAAGCTTTTGAAATTGTTGAAATATCCTGTTTGGAGCTTTTGAAAATTTAAAGTTTTATTTTTCAAATTGTTTAAAAAGACAAGCTAATAATTGTAAAACAAACAAACAAAAAAAAAGAGATCAAAAATGAAATTAAGTTTTGATTGACCTGAAGTGATTTTTTTCAGATTGTTGGTTTGTGAAAATTTTCAAGATTTTGACTATTTGTTCTGATTCAGGATGGGAAAACATTTTGAAATCTTGAAGACGTTTCCAACATGGGAAACCTCATTTCCTGCCCAGCTCTATGCAGCTTATCTGGAAGAAATTTATATAACCTCTTCTTCTTCTAGCTGCCTGGTTTGCTGCATTTTCCATCAAATTTATCTTCTGTGCATCTTTCTATGTTTTCTTGTGGCCTTGAATGAGAAGATGCAAGTACTCAGCACTACGTAAAATAGAATGTCACCTTTGTTCAAGAGCATAAGCTAAGATACTGCTGTACGAAGCCTGCCATGATCAACAAAAAATGGAAATGTGAATAATTTGATTACCTCAGAAGTTTATCTTGTTCACTGTCACCTTGCTACTGCTGTTTGTATTATTTATTTTTGGTGTCCTCCTTAAAGAGGAGATAGACTTAGATTGTGAAATGTACCAAAACATGTTGGAAAAAATCTTGGATGATCATTAGGGGTGTGATTTTAATTAAAGGTGAATTAATGTGGCTTTGAAAAATAAATAAATTAAACATGTAAAGCTGCTGTAAGACTTAGAGGTGGAGTCTAAGAAACACACCCTGACTAGCTGGAGTACTGGGTGTCTGGTGTCACTCTTTTACCATTTTGTCTCATAAAATGTTACAAGGATAAAACCAAGGGGTTTATAGAAATAAAACAGACATGTAAAACGAATGGTGCCAAAACATACAGGTATAAATGAGAATGATATCCAAGAAAATTATGTCCCCATTGTAGAATTCTCTTGGGTTGTTTAAAAATTATAGACAAAGAAAATCCATTCCCATTAAATTTAATAGAACTTTTCTTTAAGGCGTACTTGTGGCACCTTAGAGACTAACCAATTTATTTGAGCATAAGCTTTCGTGAGCTACAGCTCAAATAAATTGGTTAGACTCTAAGGTGCCACAAGTACTCCTTTTCTTTTTGCAAATACAGACTAACACGGCTGTTACTCTGGAACTTTTCTTTAAGGGTACTTTTCTTCCCCGCATATAGTAACTTTAGTTGTGTTTCATCTTAAAAATAGAATTAACTGTGACTTACACAAACCTGCTGTTGTCCCATGTTTGTTTATTGTCAATTAAATTATTTACATGAAAGATGCTGTTTCAGGAAACCAAGGTTATTTGTGGAAAAGCATGCAGGTTGTCACACTTCCACTTCAGCTGGTCCTTCTTATTTAAGCTCCAGTAGTATCCTTTGAACTGGTTCTCAGATTACTTCCTAGGAAATGCTGAAGGAGTGGTGTGGCAAGTGTTTTATGTGGTGCTCCTGGGAAGTAGCCAAGCAAATCTGTTTTGGCAGAAA